AAAAAAAAAAGGGAGACAAAGGGCAGTATCTTTTTATCTGCTACCCCCATCAATTTCAGCCCAAACCCTCCTGCCTCAGACTTGCTCCCCTGAAGCAAGAACCCTGCTGTACCATCCAGACTATGTATCAGGCAGGAAGCAGACAGGAAACCAGGAGCCTGGAGCCTGGAGCAAAACTGAGGGACACTGCATGTCTTTGATGGTGTGGGGCTCACTGTTCCCAGATGCCACCATTCTGTGTGGTACAGTGTGGTGCCATGTGGACAGCTCAGCTGAGGTGGACATCACCCAGAAAGTCCATCTCCAGACTTTTGAAAAGTTGCTGCTGTACTACTACTGAAGACCAAACTGTCTAGGTTCTCATAGACCAAAAGGTCTGGAGAGTAGACCAAAATTCCATCCAGATGTACAATTACTTCTAAGTTCCTGGAAGTCAAGAAGAATCACATTCATCCTGTGGAGTGGTGGCTGGGGCACTGTATGGGTAGAAAAGAATCACCACGTGCTCAAACAGAAGAGGTCTAACTATGCGAGGCTAATGGGGACAAGGTTGATGTTGATATCAATGAAGGGTTTCTAGTGAGAAGTGGATCCAGACCACTGGGAAGCTAGGGACCGGGACATGGAGAATATCAGTTACTCCTAATGTCCCCTACTGCAAATGACTACAGTGCAGGATTTTCTAGGGGTTGAGATATGAATGACATCTGAATAGGAATGGTGGTAAGTCACCAGCAGGTTGGGGAGGCCAAGTGCTTGGCCTGATAAACCAGGGCCTTATTCACATTGTTACTTGTTGTCCAAGGGTCCACCATAGCAAGGGTCTGAACAATCCATTACTCAAAACTCTCCTCAGTTAGATGGGAGATCGGGCTCTGTGGGAATTCCTAGGGATTGTACTCAAAGCAGGCATCCGTGTACAAAAAAATGGCCTACCCTGCTGCTGTATACAAGCACAGCTACCCAATTTGGCATTGTGCCTGATTCACTGATGAACCAAATGATCCCATTAAGCATTATTGACTTTGCATCTGCCCTACCTTCTGGTGCGGTTAAATTTAATCAGTTCTCAGAACTTGTTGCCAAGCAACCCTGTGGCCCTCTCTGACTCAGAATCATTCCAGCTTTATCAGTGTTGAGCAACCAGCCTGAATTCTGTAACATTTCTGTTGACTGATGGAGATATGGGATGACTAAATGCAGCAGGCTCTCCCAGAGGCTACCAAAGATTCTTAGAGCTACAATGACTCAGAATCATTCCAGCTTTATCAGTGTTGAGCAACCAGCCTGAATTCTGTAACATTTCAGTTGACTGATGGAGATATGGGATGACTAAATGCAGCAGGCTCTCCCAGAGGCTACCAAAGATTCTTAGAGCTACAATGGACCCTAAGTAGAGGTGCTTGACTGTGTGACTAGGGTTACCTACAGCTTAGCTACCCTAACAAGCAAGACGTTGGAAATAATCTCTTTTAAGCTCATCTTAAAACCATGGGTCCTGGCTGTCCATAAAGAGTTATAACTGTATGAGGGAGATAGGGGATTTTGCTCGATCACCTATGAACTCCTTTGGAAGGGTGAACAGGGGCCAGACTTGGAAGATCAGCAGTATTTTCAACACAAGATTAAGCATTCTCCCTTACCTCTGCCATTTGGGCTGAAGGAGGCCGTTAGAGGTCTGTGCTTTCCTACCACAATACCATGGACCCCAAGCATAGATATTAAGAGAAGTGATTAATTTACCCATTTTATAACAGTAACAGGAAAGGGCCCTTGAAATTGGTGGCTCCAGAAAATATGTCCAAAGCTGATAGGAACACTAAGTCCACCTAGGAGTTCAGTGCTGAGAACTGGATTCCAAGGAGCTGGGCCTGGAGCCAGACCTTCTGTGAGGCACTCCGAAGCCGGAAGGTTAGTCTAATCCAACACGCATTAGTAGAGTCAAACCCCAGGAAGACCAGGCCAAAAAATCAAAGGCAGAATTAGAGTCAGACAGAAACTAGCTTGAAGTTGCAGCAGGTAAATACAAGCAAGGGAAGTCCAATGCAGTTGATTCCAAGAACCATGTGGTCTCTGTCTCTGTCATACAGCGGGTTAAAGAGCATAAAAGCCAGAGGAAGGTTAGGAATATGAGAAGTGAGCCCAGGATAGTAACTGTGATTAGCCTTGAGGCATCTGTATCAGTATACGGGTGATGTGTGGGTGATTGCCACTTGTTATACACAGAGCATGCAAGCAGCCCAGTGTCCCACATTTCAGACCACATTTCCAATTGAAGGATTTGAAACTAACCACAGAACGTTCATCTATACTTGCAGCTTCAAAACAGAGGGACGTATTCCTGACTCATTGTAACAAAATATTTATCTGTTGACTGAATGAGGAGTGAGTCAGAAGGTTCAAATTTACACAGTTAACAGTGTACAATCCTGGTTTATCTTAGGTTCCACTCACAGTTATAGTTGCTTTATAGGGCTGTAAACCATGCGTGGAATTTCAATTCTAGAAGCCTCTGCTATGAAAAACCTTTCTTTTGTTAAAGAACAAATAAGTTAGTAGCATGTGCTGTTTAGGCATGGCCATATTACATGCTGCTAGTTCAAGATAAAAATGATAGTGTTTGCTTTCCAAACAAATTACCCAAGAAGGGACAGTAAAACAGAAAGAGAAAAATAAGTGACAGAGAAAATAAGGAAAGTACCTAGAATAAAAGTGAAAAAGTTTAACACAGCTTCTTTTCTCTGGTTTTCTTTTAGAAAAAGGTAGCATAGTATGATGGAATATGTGATTGAGGATGAAAAGCCTAACGGAGGGTTTTGCTTTAGCCCACTAGGTCATGCTGTGATTATAGCAAGCTGCCTACCATCTTAGATCTCCCTTTCCATCTATAATGTAGGTTTTACGTTTTACTTGCCTCTGGTTGGGAAACACAGATAAATGAGATTTTTTAAAGTGCACAGTTCTGGGAAAATACAATGTTCATTTAAAAATATGCTTACAATTTTTATCCTCTAAATTTCCTCTCTCA